CCCCGCGGCAGGTCCCAAACGTCCCGAGCTCCTGGGGGCAGTAACAGCGTCCCAGGCGCTCCCGCCTGCCACCCAATCGGCCCAATCCTGGCCGAGACCGGCCGCTCCTCGACGCGCGGAGCCGTCCCGGGGAGGTAACCCCGTCCCAGCTGAGGATGAAGTCCCCGGCCCGTAGGCGTTACCTCGCCCCTGGGCTCACCTTGAGCGCGTCCAGGATGCGGCCGTCGTAGTCGATCACCACGGTGTCGCCCTGTTCCCCCTTCAGGCCAGGCGGACCCTGCAACCAGAGGAAAACCAAATCGTTTTCTTGCGGCAGCCCCAGGGCTGGTGCGCGAGAAGCGGGCAGTACCAGAGCAGAGACCAGTACGCACCACCCTGGCGCTTAGGTGCTCATCACCTTACGAACACCTTTGCTTAAATCAGTGCCTAGACTGACGGCGACAACTGTCATCCAACCAAACCTCAAAGGGCGTAAATACGTGCAGTCGAGAAGTGCACTGAAATCGTTACTTAATTACGCCCACTCACAGCTTCCCCTCTTGCAAAACAAAACAAAGGGGTCGCACGACCACACCGGCAAGAAAACGGGGCTTTACTGCGTTTCCCAGCACTGCCTCCAATGCCTGGGCTCAGTATCCGCGCAATCTGTTTAAATACGAACCACCTCTATTTTCCAGTAATGAAACGAACCTTAAATTATTCAACAACGTGTTATACAGATAGAGATGGCAGAGAACAGGTCAGGTAAACACGCGACGCCAAACTAACCAAGACGAAACCTGAGCGTTCCTACCCGTGGTCCAATGGAGCCGACTCCTCCCTTCTCACCAGGTTCACCCTGGAAAAGAGCATGGCACCTTTGATGCAGAGAGAGCCAGGAAAATAAGGAATATTTGTCTTTAAAAAAAAATCCTGTAGCTGCATGAGGCACCAAGATGCGTTTGAGATGAAAATTTTTATATATATGTATGTGTTTATACATATATATATGTAGCGTGGCACCGACTGCTCCCAGCAAAAAAGCCAAGATTTGATTTCAGAGCAAATATGCTTTGCAAAAAAACAACCTTCGTGCGGACTAGGTGACAGCAAGAAAACTTTTCCTCATCACGTAGGGAGCGGAAGAACTGCCCATTCGGAGCCGGACTCCCTTTAATTATGAAGGGCCGTTCCCTTATAGAGCTCTATTTTCTGTTACCAGCGTGCCAAGCTTCAACTCTTTGTGCTGAAGTTTCACATGTCTGTGCTTGCTTTAGGCTGATTTTTGCATGTGGAAAATTTCAGCTGACATGCTTAAACCATTTTTGAGGGCGAGTTTAAGGAAAAAAGCTGTGCCAAATTTTTTTCTCTTTCTTATTTTTTGAAAGTTGGAAAGCTGTAGGCACTCCCACGTTGGCAGCCATCACCTGGAATTTAGTTCAGGAATCAAAAACGTACCTTTTGCCACATCTATGAAAATCTATTTGTTTGTCAAATTATAGGAGCCCTTGAAAGAGTAAAAACTGTATAAACAAAGATTCTTCATCGGAAAAAACTCAATTCAGCAGATCCTAGGAGGAGAAGTGAGTGCTACTACTATGTTTTTAGAAACACAATGGCTAAGGGCCATTGAGCCCACATTTCGTCATCATAAATGGTTTCCTGCCTAACATGGAGCCACGACTGTTTGGTGCAGAAAACACGACTGGATATGGATCCTGATAAATAAGCAGCAGCTGCTGGGGGGGAATAGCAGCTCATGGATGCTCTCCATGTCGTATCATCACCACTTAACCTATCAAGGCTGTCTTATCACATTTCTTTGCAGTTAAGTAAAACAGTAAAGCATTTAAGTACTCTTGACTTTGGAGAGATACCGCAGTAATTAATATACGAAAATCAAAATATCATCAGAGATTTAGCTCTCTGGGAAAAAAAAACAGGGAATTCAATGGAAAACATTGAAGATGATTTTAAAACCTCTTATATTGTTTTCATTAAAATACCAGGAGAAAGTAACGTACTTCTCAAATCCTCCCCCCCTTTTTTTTTTTTTTTTCATTTTTGGCATTTTATGAGACTTTTGGAAAGCAAAGGCTTAAAACACCTACACAGCAGAAACACGCTGCCTCAACAGTGCTGCTCCCTCACTTCCAGGCTAAGGGACATGTATTTACCTTGGATCCTGGCAAACCATCTGTGCCGTTCTCTCCCATTGGACCAGGACTTCCTTTTTCTCCCTGAAAGCAAGACAATTTAGGTTAAAGCTATATGGATAGGATGGAAAAGCAGGTTTCTTCAGGTTATAATTGTCTTGCTTCATCTTTACTGTTATGAATGAACAAAGCTTTTTGCTTTTAGCCTAAAACGCATCATAATGTTGCCTACGTGCAGATAGGAGACAAAGCTTCCAGACTTAACAGCGTGGTTACGGGTGATATGCTCAGCTGCAAAGCTAGTCCCAAAACTGCAGCTGTGAGGGAAGGCTCCCGCAAAGAGCCTTCCCCTGCCGCTCCTCAGATCCGGGCAGTACAAAAACCACATCCCAAATCCCGACTGCAAGCAACTTGCCCGATTGATCTTGCCAGAGACTGTTCTTGGTGCAATTCTCAGGAAGGGCCACCAAATTGTGCGTACGGACCAGAGCCCCTCAGAGCAGAGGTACGTGGCAAGGGATGGGTTATCCTTCCCTTTCCCGTTTCTTTGCTCTTTTGTAGAGACACGCTTCATGGGCAGAATGCATACGTACAACCCGCCCTGCCAACAAGGACATGGGATGACGCAAAGGCTGCCGAGCACGTACGGCTAGACAGACACACAGCTGCAACGCACCTTAGCGCCCACAAGTCCTGGCTCCCCTGGGATCCCGTCATCACCCTGATGGAATAAAACATAATGAGTGAAATGGAGAGCTCGTACGCTCGCATCCACTGCCTTCGGAGACCTGCAGGTCCCATAAGCCGCGTTTGTGTTGGGCTCATCCCGCGTCCTTGCTCTCCCAAAGTGAGCTCGGTTTGCAGGTCCAGAGGAGGTTAATTCTGCCAGGCAGTTATGGGATTTTAAGCCAAATTCTGGCCTGAGAAATGCACGCAGCCAAGTCTGTTTTGGGGCAAAGCAGTAAGAGAATAAGGCTGAGCGCCATCAGCACGCTCGTTTCAGTTAAAGGCACTGGTTTATTTATTACTTGACAGCACTGACAGAAGAAAATATGGACAGCGAGGACACATGAATCTTCTACAGGCTTCAACACACAACCCAAAGAGCCCGTCCTTAAACAAGCGGGAACTTGCTTCCTGGCCCATGAGAAGGGACCACACAGAGGCTATGCATGCAACCCCTCTTCACAGTCCATCCCATCGCGAGGGCCTGTTGGGAGATAACATCCTCCAAATGCTTCTTGGGTTAGCTTAGATTATTTGAGTAAAAGGGCTCAGATCTACTGCTTTGTTTGGCATTTACTGTTTTATTCTTTGTCTACTGGGCAGATGTGATTCCAGCTTCCAGCCTGTTTGTTGTAATGAAAACCATGCCAACGGCACAGCAACGGCTGCATTTCGAGGTCGCTGAATGGCAGCTCTTTAATGGGACACATGCGAGAAAGCCCAGGCCATGAATCAGGACCAAAACCACGGCTGCTTGCTCTGTTTCTGAAAATGGGTCCCTAGTCTAGCACTGAGCAAGACAAAGAAAAATCACTGTTTTACCTTTTTCCCTTGGACACCAGGCTCGCCCTTCAGCAACAATCACCGCGGAAAAGAAAGACGTTAAGGGAAATAACAGAAAATAAGACCAATTGTATTGAAACCCCAAATTAATTGTAAAGTAAAAATACCAGACTTGAACAATCTCCTTTTTTCCCCTCAAAATGCAAGAAAGCACATTCCTACAGCCCAGCTTCCAATCCCCCACTCCGCTCCTTCCACGGCCCGTGTCAAGTTTTAGCTTGGACAGCGGTTGCGGTTGGCACGTTCAAACAGACGTGGGCAGCTCCAAGTCACTGATTAATTTGATATCATGGAAATACTGCATCTGAATTGATATGGAGGGGGTGCAGTTGAAATAATTATGTTCATCTCCACCCCCTTAGCATAGCAATATTTCAAGAAGTCTTGACTTGGAAAAAATTAGACGGATAATGAATTACTTACTACCCACCTTTGGTCCCGGAGGTCCCCTGGCACCCTGTTGAATGTAAAATTAGATGGTATACTTATTTGACAATAAAACATAACAGGATAAAAACATTTCCAAGAGTACTTTAATCCCCATGAAAACAAGACACAGATGCCAACTTCTCATCCCATCTTCACTTACAAATACAGCCACAAGTTCTCTGTGTTCCCAGTAAATAATAAAGAAAATATTCTCTTACTGCTTGTGTGTTTTATGTATAAACAAGTACCTCGTGAAGCAACCTAGACCTTAACAGTGCCCATGGAGGGACAGGATGGCAAGTTTACAATACTGTATAACTGCAAACGCCCAAAATGAACACTAGCTCTGCAGGCGATGAAGCCACAGAGCAGTTAGTGCAATAGCTAATAGCGCTAAAATGCCCTTTAGAAAAAGGGCTGGTTATCTGATATTACAGGCCAGTGGTCTGTATTAGAGGCAGCAGGCCCTGGCCCAGGCAGGCACAGCGTCCTTAGGGAACTGGCCACAGGAATCACTTATGGCTTCCCAGGTAGCTTTTTCCATGACGAAGATAGCTAACACCAACCACCAACCCACCGCGCTCGTGTTACCCCAGGGTGAATCGTTTCAGCCAGTGCAAACGTGCTCTGAACGAATCCCACAAAGACTTCCCAGGACACATCACCAACCTGCACCATTAACACGGTCTTGCTTTGCCTGCGCTGCTATTTACACTGCAAGGAGCGCAAGCTGGGCCAGCATGCTGGTTTTTAATGCAACAGCCTTCTGGTTCAGTTTTGCTTTCTCAGCAAATCCGGCATTGCTGAATTGGAGTTGTAATGCTAGGAGGCTTCGGGGAGGGGCAGGAATGGACGATTTAGGAGCAGCACAGCACCCCAGAGAGCCACAGGGGCAAAACTTACCTCTTTCCTTCCCATGGGCGCAGGTGCCCCTGCCCAGGCTGGGTAATTTCTTAAGATGGAGCACTGTCCATTGAGAACATCTATCATTTCTCATATTTTTTAGCTTTAAGAAGTAATGACAAGTAACCATTGGCTGCAGAGTGCTAAAGGGTGATGTAAAGCAACCCAGGTGAGAGCCACGTGCACGTGTGAGATGGGCAAGCACACCACTCTCGCTAGTTAGGCTGTTACTGCCAGCACGGACACTTTTGGAGAATACTAACCGTGAGACCGTCCTCTCCTGGCTCTCCTTTAAAACCCTGAAAAAACAGAAAAGGTCAATATACTAACCATGAGACCGTCCTCTCCTGGCTCTCCTTTAAAACCCTGAAAAAACAGAAAAGGTCAATATAGGAGCTAACATCCCACGTTCTCCAAAACACTCAGAGATACCTAAGGATGCTCAATAGCACCACATTTCTGCATATTTATTTACGAAATGAATTGCCAGGGATCTGAAGATTTGCAATAGGTTCGAAGGCTGCCCATCAGGGACGAGAAACACTCTGGGCTCTCTGCTGTGAATCGGAACAAGTACGTGCAAGTACATGTTGCAGCTCCAGCTCTGTGAAAGCCAAAACAGAGCCCAGAGAGCCTCCCCTCCTCCAGCAGCCCCTCACCTCCAGCCGTGGCTCTGCCTCGTGAGGAGCTTTGCTGCTCGAGCGACCACCACCTCAATCCGCCCATCAGGCGGCTCGCAGGGGAAGAATTGCAAACACCGCCTGAACCAACTTTCTAGTTGCGAGAAAGGAAGTCAGATTCCAATTTTGTGGAAGAAACCAGCTTTTCGTTGAAAGATCATCAGTGATGGGAAGCAGAACCAGGCTGCCACCCCCCCAGGACACACATCTGCCCCCTGGCAGCTCCTCCCCATCCTCTCCCTCACCGGGCTGGGAACTACCCTGGGGGGTTTAGCGGGAGCTGCCCTGTTACTGCGAATATTTCACTTCTATGGTCCTTACAGGGGGGCCTTGAGGTCCTCTTGGGCCATCTTTGCCTGTATCGCCAGGAGGCCCCCGGGCACCAGGGGGTCCCGGTGGGCCAGGGGGGCCAGTGGCTCCATCACGACCTTGATCGCCCTGCAAGAAGTTCACACAAACATTGTGAGATGAAGCAGCAAATCAGCAAGCCAGGCAGGGGACTGACGTGTTCCCCCAGGGCTCCATGCAACAGGCTGGGGCAAACGGCTGAGCTGGCAGACGGCACCCATGCCCCAACCCACGACTGAGCTACGTAGCTGGTTCAAGTCTTTTGGTTCTTGCTCCTCAACCAGGATTTTGCTCAATGTTGTCCAACAGGATTTATTTTCCCTTTAAGCCCTGCACGGCACTCGTCTGTGTGGAAACCACTGATTTGACAGCACGCAGAAATAACAAGCACCCAACGACATGCTGACATGGGGCATGCATGCTCTTCCATAGCTTAGTGGATCACATCGAAAACGCACAAAAATCGTAGTGCTTAGTAGTTTCCTTTATACACAGCCAAGGTTATGCATCGACATACAGTGCAGCTTGCACCCCACTTTGCAAGGATGTAAATAAGAAAGTAGCAGCCATCTCCTCTTGTGACTGGCCAGGCTCGGCACGTCCTTGCTGAGGACGAGAGCGCTGGCTCCGCGCGAGCTTCGCTGCCCGCTTCCGGGCTCCCGCCCCGAGGCAGGCTCGTAAATCTTTTAACAACATCTGGACAGGATACCAGGGAGGCAGGAACAGGGCTGCGTTTAATATGCGGTCCACCTTCAAATCAGGGACAAGTGTGGGATTTTCAGAAGTCCTTAAGAAACTTAACTGCACAAATCCCGCTGCCTTTCAACAAGATCTGTGCTCCTAAACCACTTGCGTAATTTTTAAAAACACTATTGTGAACCCTGAGTGCTGCATCCAACTACGTCAAGCCAAGGGACTCCCACTGAATTTTGCGTAATTAAAAGAGTTACATTTTGAGTATTGAGATTTAGACAACTGCATTTTTAATGCATTTTATTTTACAGTACCATCCTATGAACATTTATAGGACTTTGTCCCCACTTCCCTGAGAGGATCAAATGCTCGCGTCCATGACTTTTACCTCTCCTTACTTTGACGAGACTCCCCCTAAACCCCAACGGGATTTTGCTCAAGCACACCTCAAAACAAGCACCTCAATGTAGCTCATTGCACGTACAATTTAAAATAGCAATGGCATGCTATCAGTCAAAAAGAAAAAATCCACTCAAAAATCACAGCAAACCAGAAGCAGCAGATTCAACACATCTACCTTGAGGATTCGTCGGCTAAAGACAAGCTGATCGTTAGCCAGAAATCCATGACTGAGGCGGGGAAAAACCATCTAGCCAGGTAAGCAGGAGGCAGAATAGAAAAGAACGAGAATTTAAGATGAAAGTACGGCCAAATGGTGAGTTTTAAGGGCTATAGACAATCTCTAGCAATTTATCTCCAATAATTAACAGATACATGAGTAGGATATAACCTAGCTAAAAACCAGTGGTCATTTTAACATTCTGGATTCAGTGGAGGCTTGGTAAGCAGTAAACAGACATAGGAAAACAAATAGCTTTTTGTTAGCTTAGTGCACAATAGGGCATTCAAAGCTGCTGGGGTATAGAAGCTTCCCCTACTGCAGGGCTTTTCTGCAGAATAAAGAGCATTATTCCAGCAAAACCCATAGGAGATACATCCCAGCATTTCTCCAGAGACCAAATATTATATTTTTTTCAGAGGCTAAAATGAATACTGATGTATTCCCCAGTCTGCAAAATACTGATAAATCTCTCAGAATTATTTGATGCAAAAACAATGTATTCAGACCATGTCACTAGTCATTGCTATTGTCTTTTAGCCTTTCTACTTAGATATCTAGAGAGAAGCAGTAGGACCCTTTTTTCCTCTGGACAAGACTGGCTCAACCCCATCCAGCAAACACTGTCCCGACCTGGCCCTCAACGAGAGCCAAAGGCATCTGCTGTAACGTGAAATGACTATTTGCACTTCATCCAACACTAAACACTGTGTGTCCTATCAAACTCAGCAATCTCCCGTTTTATTTTAAACAAGCCCTGCTACAGCTGGGCCCATGAAAGTGAACAGCCCTTAGGGGCTATTAAATACCCTTTCTGGCACAGGAAACGTCTGGGCCATGGATAGTCAGGTTGCCAGCAAATATTTAGGTATGACAGAATTAGATTCTTGCTCTGTATTTATGCTCTCCCACGGGCATCTGGACATGGGGTACGTGGCTGAACGGAAACCAGCATTTTCATGCTTTCCTCCACCAGCTCTCGTGCCCTCTATGCTGCTTTTATGGAGACGATAGCTGGGTAAGGTACCAGAAAGCAGCATCCTTGTGTTGGTAAGTTTTGTACCATCTCCTTATCGTTTATAAATTCAAAGTGCAATGCTAGGTGCTCTTTGAGTAGAGGATCCTGTGATGTTCTCTTCCCTGTAGCACCCAGCTGCCTCCTCGGCACGCACGGGGATGGCCCAAAGTGTCTTAGCCCCACGTGCAGCAGCAGCCAAGTACAAAACGAAGGGAGCAGGGATTGCTGCTGCTAAAATTGTTAAGGTCTTTGGAAAAAAAAAAAATCTTAGCGCAAACAAACCTTGAATGCTAGCGCTTTCCAGCTTTAGACTACTTGATTTAGCTATTTTAACATAGTGGTCAAAAAAAAAAAAAAAAAAGCAGCCATGTTGTTTTATGTTGGCTTTCACTGAAAGCTCTGCAGGAGACTCTACGTGCTGAGCATTTATGTGCAATTTGAGCTTGGTAAACGCTATCTTTTTGCAGAAAGATACTTTTAAACTGCAGCCTAAACTGTAGCCTGTAGATATGCCAGTTTAGCCATGCGGCTGGCCAGCACTTATTTCAATAGCCTCTCGGCATACAGTGGTTACCGCAAACATCTTGAACGGTGCTGGCAATTGAGCAAGAAAGCACCAAATACACCAGTGGAGACAAATGTATTTTTTTTTTTTTTTGTGCTAAACGGATGCTAAGAAATGAAGCTAGACAGCCTATAGCCTCCAGACACCTTTGCGACGTGTCTGGACGCCAAGTCAAGCTAAACTGTGAACCAAGATGCTATCAGTCAAGTCATCATCAGGCTGGCCACTACCCCCCAAGCAGGAAAGTGCCCGAGATATTTTTGGCAAAGGCCATAGTTCTTCCTTTGACTTTCCCTCAGCCTGACCTCCTCTAATAACTCACGCTACAGTATCTCCCCTGCTGGTAGGAAGTTACATACTGGCTCTTCAAGTTATAAGGCACACAAGAAAAGACAAGTTGAAATGTGTTTTCTCCTTCTTGAGAACACAAGAAAAGCCCAGATGTGCAAAAATTCATCAGTCCCACCATTTGCCTAGACACTTTGTAAGTGAAAACAAGATCATACAAATCAGGATAATAAAGCTAGAGCTAGCTCAGGGAATGACTCCGGCTTGTAAAAAACAGCCATTTTTAGAGGTGTAACAGTATGTTTGATTTTCAAATAGAAATACAAACACGAATAGCAAGGCACAGTGGCCCCAGTCTGCTTCTGCTCCCTCTTGTCCCCCTGGTGCTGGAGCTCCTGGTCTCCCTCCCTGTCTCCTGCTGTTCAGCCTCCCTGACCCTACAGCAACACTGCTGCAAACTCCCAACGTTTCCCAGCACTAGGAGAGCCCAGCTGCTGCTCCTCGGCCAAAAGGGGCTGTTTGAGCAGCTTAGCCTACGAGCTCCTTAGGGAACCAAGCCATTGCGTGAAGCTCCTGGTTAGAAACTTCTGCGGCAACGTCCATGCTGCTGCACCCTAGACCATCTCTGCACTGCCGGCGGTCTGACGTGAAGGGACATCTGCTCTGCATTTCTCCCTGCAAGCACGCCTGCGGGCGTTTTTTCCGTACATTCAAGGATGTCTGTTTTTCATCCTAGTTATAGCAGGGAGATGAAGAGCACACTGAAAGGCTGGGCCCTTGGCACCTCTCGCGCATGCAAGGTGGCAAGTCCAGGCTCCCCAGGCAGAGTAGCACTCCAGGAGCAACGCGTGGCCACACTGCGCTTTGCACCGTCCTCCGGAGGAGATGACCTGTCTCTTCATCAGCTTGATCGTTTCCTCTGCATACAGTCCCTCCAAAGCCACCCCAAGGATTATTCTTTTTTTTAATCTGTCATTCCCAGTGATAATATGTTTGTGTTTGTTCACACTCTGTCCCTACTCCACCTCCTGTAGACATGAACGTTTATGAGCTAAGGTGCATTGGATATATTAATAGTTATTTCTCTCTCTGTTGATACGCTGACTGGCTGTGACACATTTTTCACAATCAGCTAAACAGAGCTACTGCTGAAACTTTAGAAATAAGATAGGTTTAGTTGAGAAATAAAAAGTAATCTATGCCAGATGGTATCAAGAAGTTTCATATCCCATGCACAACCATAAATTTCTGTAGAAGTAAAGGAAATTAATTTCAAAGCTGGACACTGATTGCTAGCCCTAGCTGTGCACGGCTTGGCTGGGCTAGTTTCTCCTCCTTTCCTCCCAAATTGTTTGGGAGCCTTTTTCTTCCTCTTGTAGAAAAAAAGCATAAAGAACTACAAATGAAAAAGTAAAAGCTAGACAAATGCAAATCAGGGGAAAAAAAAAATACACATTTTTATCAGTGAATTAAAACCCTAGACACGCATTACCTCGGAAGCCGGCACCTGGAGCCCAGACTGCACCTCTTGCCCGAGCACGTCCCGCAGCTCAGGCAGGAGACAGCTCCTGCGCTATCCAGCAGCGTGAACCAAGCACGGGGCTCCAAGGCTGGGAGAGCATCTCCTTCGGCACCAAACAAGTCCCCAGCCCAGCGGGGTGACCAGGTGGGCTCTGATGCAGCTGCCTCTCCTGAAGCCGTCCAGATCCCCAGCCAGAACTGGGGCCAAGAGTAAAAATAAATCACACTCGCGTGCAGGTGGGTCACCTCTTAAAGCCTTTTCAGAATGTGCAGGTGGGCAGTTAAACGAGGTCAAGACCTGATGCTGAGCTGCTCCACTGCCGAGCAGGGGATAAATCTATCTGAGAAGTCATATTGGCTTTCAGAGCCAGAGGGTATCACTTCCAAATGCAGCCAGGGCAGTTAGGAGCTGTTTCAGAAGATGACACCAACTTTGAAAAGTGACTTAACAGCCTCTGGGCGGGGGGAACTCTACTCTGAAGCATCACTGCCTGACATTAACCAGTGAGACCCTAGCTACGTTTCCAAAATCCCCACCTAATTCATCAGCTAACTCTACCAGCATCAGGTTCCTCAAGTCCTAACAGCACCCAGGCACCATAGTACTTTGGCACACAGAGAACTAAATTATTTGAAAGCTTTTGCATTTCTAATCGCAAACCAGCAGCATCTAACAAGTAATTTGTTCTGTCTAGCACTGCACAGGGCACAGTGTTTGTCATTGACATGAATATTGGCATGCAACCCCAGGTCTGCTCCCTTCATTTTGCTTATGCCTTGCAGGCGTCCCAGCTACAGCTGCCACCAAACGGTTCTCCAAGTCACGCACACGCAGTTATGAAACAAAACCACCTCCTTGGCCCCAAAGTGGTCATTAGTTACTCTTCCAAATACAACATGCTCCTGCCAAGTGGTAAGACCAGCCATGGTTTTAAAGACTTTAGCTATGGGATGCTCGGGTTCAATTCTAATGGCGATGATTTTGTCCAAGAGGAATTCCCTCTTCCGTTACGCACTGGCTACGTTCACTTGCGGAACACAGCTCACAGTTCACCCTTCTCGCAGGAGGAACTTGTGAGAAAAGATAAGGGACTCCCACAAATCAGTCACCCTCTCCTCCTACAAACTGGTTTGCTATACAGAATACAAGACTGTGTCTTTACAATAAACATCTGGGTGGCAGTGCTAAACGGTAACGAAGCAGTACTTGTACAGGTAAAAACCCAGGAGCAAAGAAAACTATTCGCATCAGCATCAGCAGAATCACAAGACATGTCCCACCAGACAACATCCCATTCTGGCTGGCTGTATGGGATGGCCCTCATCTTCTCCTGCCTTGGGAGCCTGACTCAGATTTGATTTTGGTGCGATGATGATGAAGGCTGGGATGACTTCTTCCACTTTTCATATGTGGATTATCATCCACTCATGCACATTTTGGCCAGCATTAATGGGCCACCTTAATGCCTCTATCTAACTCTAATGAAGTGTAAGGGGGACTCTTCAAGATGAAGAGTTTGAGCACTAGGGTTTTACTTAGTAGCCCCACTCCTGTCTCAAAGGCAGGGCACGCTCACACAAGGCAGACCAAGGTGTTCTCAGGCAAAAGCTGCTGTGGCACACCAAAATCCACAAGTGCTGGCGCAGGCTGCATTAGCCAAGCAGTTTGCGTGTGCTGGGCACAAAGGGACAATGCTGAGAACGATTTATCAAAGCAGAAACTAAGCCAGCTCCTAATCCGGCTTCTGAATGACCATCACCTCGCCCCCAACATGTGAGATCCCGTGTTACTGCAGTTATCGCTATCACAGCTGCGACAAATCTTGATTTCACGGGTCCCCACTAGAGTCATCTCCACAAAACTCCATTAATTTCTGCATGTTATAGCTAGAACAGTTTTCTCTCATCAGTTTCTTTAAACATTTATTTTTGATCGAAGGCAGTCTACAGATGAAAAAATGACTAAAAATGAATTTAAAAAGAGATGTGTTGAAAAACCTAAAAAAACCACCTCGCTGGCATTTTCCACTGACGCTGCCATGCCCATTGCCAGTGTGGCTGTCGCCGCACTTCCCTGAGGGTAACAGAGACAGAGGAGAAGCTTTCCATCCTGTACAGCACCACTGTATGCCGGGCCTTTTGCCTTGGGACGCTGGATGTATTTGTACTAAAATGCTGGCAAATGACCATAGCTTCAAGCGAAGCATGGAGACTGTCTTGTCTTTGTCACGTGGGAGGGAGAATCAGGAACAGGAAAGCCCAGGAAAAGTTAAACCTTTCATTAGGTGCCTGGAGATCTTGAACTTTTTTCCCCATATTCACAGTTAGGAAGAATAACAACAGATAGAGCTTCAAAGGCAAAAATAAAACGTTTTCAGAGCTGTTAGCGTTCTACAGCTTGCAGTGACAGAGCTGCACAAAGCTGTGTTTTCTGCTATGACCAAACCCAACTAGGGTTTGGAATAAAACATGTCTTCTCAGTACTTACCCTTGGGCCGATGTCCCCTGCTTCACCCTGCGCAACATGCAAAACAGCAAGGGTCAGCTATTGGAGTTCAAATTTCAAACGCAAAGGACAGAGCGTAAGGTCAGCTGGACTAGGGTACTACACACACGGGAAGTGGCAAGAGTCCTGTTGCTTAACATATTCAAAACCAGGGAGGAGGAGGATTTGAGACAATACAATAGGGAATGATTCTGCCCTGGCAGGCGATGAAACAGATAATAAATCAGAAAGAGTGGATTGTTTCCAACTCCAAGGCTCCCCTAGCACTGCTTATGTCCTACACATGCAAGGATTAACATCACTTTCAGTACAGTCATGATCTTTCTTTGGCTTCTTTATTCCGTGGGAGGATGTCAAGCCAAGGCAGCAATGGAGCCCACAGCCTTTCAACTCCCTTGCTCTTGGAGGAAAAGCAGGATGAAAATTGTATGCCACTGTCCTAACCCCCAAGGGGTTATCACGAACCCCATGGCTGGGATGAGCTTTAGGTCATGCTTGTTCCTCCAACATCTCTGCAAATTCTTTCTGCCCTCCCCTTCCGACGGCTCTTTCAATAGCCGCCGGAGAATCCACTGTCCTGCTTCCGCATCCCAAAAAATCCCAGGGCAACAGCACTCTGGCACATTGGGGAAATTTGAACTGCAAGAACAAGAACAAACTTCTGGTTCCCAAAGAGATGAATGCTAAGCAAATCTTTACCTTTTCCCCTTTGGGTCCTGGAGGCCCCTGCAAACACAAAGAAGGATCACAATTAAAAAACAACAGAATTGGCAATGGGTGCCCTCTTTTTCCAACATCAAAACTAAAGAGATCACATTCACCCGTTCACACGGAGTCACATTCACTATTATTTTGTGTTGTGTGCCGCTGCGCATGAACAGCATACACCTAAAAACACCATCAAGGTCCTGCCTTGGGCCTAAAGAGTCTCAAGAAGTGCAAGGCAAGAGGCAGCGGCACGAGCCAGCAACTCAGGAACATGTAACTCTAAATAGATGCAAGACATTTCTTAAAGGACTAAATCACTTCTAGAAAAACACATGCTCAGCACATCATTACAACAATTATACATCTGTTTGAAATAAACACGGAGGATGGGCTGCTTTCTTTGGCCTATTTGCTGAAGACATAACTCATACTCCCTCCAAACAGCTTTCTGTAAGACAGGCAGGCAGAGACACGTTAGAGCCCCAAAGAGGAGCCACAGAGCCATCGTGCTTTGATGTGCCTATTCCGTGCTCGCCTTAAAGGACAGAAACATATTTAAGCTTGGCTCAGCCCAATTCATGGTGCTTGCTGAAGCGAGACCTAGCGCAAGGCCGTGTGGGAAGGAGGCAGAGGGTCAGCGGGGAGGGCCGCAGCAGGAGCATCTGCATACTTGTGCAGCACCCCTCCTGCTATTAATTTGCCTTTAAGCAACCCTGTTGGCCCCCTGCTTTCGTGCACGAGATCACGAGCAGCCTGGTTTGAGTTTGGCCTTTCGATAAGTTTGCTTTTTCTTTCGCATTTCCCTGCCTCTTGCCCAGCGGTCTCACTCAGCTCATGCGCACAACCTCCAGCCTTCTTCCATTGCTATGAAAGCTTGCATTAGGACATAGAAGATGGCTCTAATCTACATCTATCCCTATTTTTACCCTTCTGCTCTTCTTTTAAGTCAATAACAAAAAATTGCCTGCTTCGAATTTAAATTGCAAATTGCCATTGACAAAAATGACTTCAAGTCTTCTAGAGAGAAAACTAGGAATTTTTCATCTTTCCTTTTAAAGTAGGTTTTATTTGATAAAAATGTATTTGCTGGGGGGAACAAATGGGTGGTGGTGGTGGGGGAGCACCAGTCCTGCAAGACTTTGCAGGGCCCAGTAACACAGCACCTAGTGTTAGACATCAGCAACATCTAGACGCATCGCCTTGTTTACACGGACTTTCAGGGCGAATGCGACTGCTAGCAAACAGGTCCTAAACTGCCTTCAGCGCCTTGGAAATTCCTTAAAAAGGGAATGAAAAACACACGGGGACTGGCTCACTCATGAAACTTTGGTATTTTTTGCTTCAAGGGGAGCATGACAAAACAGCAAATCCAGCCTGGACATCTGTGTGTAACAAAATGGTAGCTTTTCTGCATCTTTAGAAGGATGCTGCTGGCCTTGGTTTCAACTTTGGGCAAAAGCTCACAGGCCTCTAAACTCACAGGGTCACCCAGGCTGCCTGATTTCACATCACAGCGATAAAAAAAGCTGTAACAAGACATTCCCTAACTGGCTAGACGTAAATACCAGGACTAACTTTTAATAGCAAAGATCAAATGATTTCTGCCCCCTTTGAAAATCGCTTTAAGGGTGAGCTTGAAAGGATTTCAAAGGGTGCCCTCTAGCGAACGTGGAATAAAATGGCATTTGAGCACAAAACACCAAGGGAACTGTGAGGTCCGTTAGTAACGATCCTAGACGAAGGAATCCGAGCTGGCCAACGTCCGCTTAGCGTAAAATCAAAAAGCGTAAAATCAAAAAGGCAGTAGGAAAACAGTGGTGTACCTGACTGTCCAAAAGGCTTCCAAGCAAAAAAGAAATCAAGAGAGCAGCTTGTGAAATGAAGTCCAGGATGTTCCCCAAAGCATGACGTTAATAACGAGCATTTGCTCCACATCCAGTCCACAAAGCCTCCGTTAGCCGAGCTGGCGCACCGGTGGGGCGGATGCAAAACACCCCCTTTGTTTTCGGCACTCCGACTGGGATAAAGGGTCTGACAGCTAAAAAAAAAAAACCACCTCACCTCCAGTTACAAACTGAGCGCAGCGGGACCGAGGCTATTTTATCGTATCGTTCCAAAACACCAGCGCCCACCAGCACTCTTTTGACAAGAAAGCCTCAAACTTGCAGATTCTCAAATAATCTTCACCTCATCCAGTGGGACTGTTCCCACTGCCCCAAGGGACTGTGCCCGGTGTCATCCAGCCCAGGCTCCCAGTTTAAACATGTATGTGTTACAGACCACAGAATGATTTTTCTAGATGCAATCTTGCCTCACAAACAGCTATATATGTAGAACTTATTTAGTAATAAATGAGCATATTTGAGATTCTGCCCAACTACTGCGGAGCAGCGGGAATGAAGACACAACACATTTGACAGTCAGCGCTACTTACTGGTTTGCCATCCAAACCAAGAGGCCCCTAAAAAAGGGAAGGAAAAAAACAGTAATATGAAAAAAAAAACAAACTCTTTACAAACATAGCAATAGCAGTCATGCTGTGAAAGAGACTCTACTTACACACAGTACAATCTTTGGCTACGTAACTTATATACCTAATCCTTCGTCCATGCGATCCAGTGAGAACGTTTCACAGCAGCAGAGCAAGAGGCGTCAAACGTTTGGCAGAGTACGAAGGAGCGTGAAAAGAAGCGACAGGCTTAGCAGCAAGGACAGGGTGACACTGTTCTGCCGTGCATGGCGCTCGGGATGCTGAGATTTTTAAAGGCTTTAAAAGAGAAGCAGCAAAACATGCCCGATCTGGTTAAACCGAACAGCTCCCGAAAGTGATTCGCAGGCAACCTGGGACCTGAACTGTTCGGTTTCTCAAAAGGACTCACTAAACTCCATCCTGCCGGCAGGTGTGCGCACGCTCGACCTTGCTCATCATATCAGTTGTACAAAGTTAGAAACGCACAGGTATTGGCAGGATCAAACACTCAGTTCCTCTAATTCTTCCCCAAGTCCCTCCCCCCTTTCTAGGGTTGCTGCACGAGATCTACAGTAAGAACATATGATAAATGGTTACCTCCCCACAGTTTCTGGCAGGCAGCCCTTAAAGAACATCAAGCCATTAAACGTATTGGGCAACATTTCCTAAAGTGATAAGGCAGGTTGGTCACAAGTGAGCAAAGCACTCGGACACCTCTTACACATCCCAGATTTCAAACGCATACCCAAGTGCACGCGTTCAGTACATAAGGATAAACTTATCCTTAAGAATAAGGGTAAACCTCAGACTGACCTACAGGGCGATGCCCGACAGCAGATTTGTTGTGTCCCTGCTTGGCAACAGCCAGTGAGAAGAGACAGCTGCAAGTGCTTCATAAGCTAGGTACCAATTATCCATAAGTAGCAACATATGTGCATTTTAACACATGATTTTGATCTACATCATGACCTCAAACTTGAATCTGGGGCTGCTTTCATCATTGCCTACTGTAAATTCAAGGGCTACGTTCACAAAATGGTACCGTGGGAGGAGCGCACATCCCAGCCACGCGCATGCAACACGCGCCTCTTCCTGGAGCCTCCTACAAGCGTACTGAGCTGAAAGGTCTTCTCACTTTACAGTGCTATACACGTGGAGGGACTACTAAAGTAAATGTAATCTGGGCCATTGTATTACTCCAACAATAAAGCATCAAAGCTTTCTATGTTTCTCGGAAAACTAGTTAGGGTGAACATTTTTTAGTTCAGCTTAAAGCCTGTGATGATGGTTAAGCAAGAAAGAGAAAAAGGGATATTTGTGTAAGAGACGCCAAAGGGTTGCACGTAAAATAACATCCTTCCAGCTCTTAGCTCCAGCCATCAACCACGAATAAATCAGTTTGCAGCAGCTGTGGTGACCAGACTTGGAACATCAAGCTCTGGGAAACACACAACTCTGTTAGGAAAGAGAGTTAAAACCAGCCCAAATGCTGTGCAGTGCATCACTGCCTACGTTATAAGAACTGGGGAACTGTACGAAAGGGGTTTTTACCAGAAAATAAATGGGGGTTTCTTTACATATAAGATTTCTCAAGTTACCAAACAAATTATACACTCTGTTTACATAACATATACTATTTCTCCACAAGGAACTAAAGGTACACAACTGCCATGTAGTATTGGTTGTGTTCTTTAATACCAAGGCTTACAGATCAAAAGCAAATTATCCCTTCCCCGGACAAACACTGCCTCCATACTTCCTTGCCTCACGTTGGTTCTTCACGTTATAATACATTTTTCTCACTAAAGCCCTCCAGGCCCGATGCTAAAGCAGAAACCTGTATCTCCATCATCTCAACGGTAACTAAAGATTTTCACTGGGATTAAAGTGAAGCAAGTCTTGATCGAACTATTTGGATCACTCTTAATCCGTTATTACGCTTCCTCATTTAACGAGGAACGTGCAAGCTCTGTGCATGTCTGTAAAACCGTTCAGTCTTCTCTGAACGAGTGTCTAGATACTTTTTCTATTTCTTTCTTGTTTTAAAATGACATCAGAGAAGTTATGTGAATATACTCAAGAAAGCTGTCATGTCCAAGGAGATTTTTTTCCTCAAACTATGATTGCTTGAGCTGATTCACCTGATGCAGCTATCAGTGATCTCCAGAAATAAAAGGTGGGAACCTACATAAACAGGGAACCTGGAGCCCATTCAAGTTCTCAAAGTAGAAGTCCCAGGGGCTAAATAAAATTTTACAATACCAATGCATCAGCTTCAGCTATTCTTGTATCTGTCTACAAAGGGCCATCCAGAAGGAAAAACAATGGCCTATTCAAAGGAAGCTTGTTTGAGAGAAACCATTTAATGCTCAAGAGAAGCGATGTTCATCAGACTTCGAAAGGAGCCTTACAGCCAGCCACTACCGTTGAATGGACACAATTGTAATTCAGAGTTTTAACTATTTTGCTCGTCTAGGCTGGAGATTTAATTGACTCTGCTCTACCTGCCCAGCCAAATATCTCCACGAGCAAGGACAATGTTTCAGAG